TTTTAGAAGTATGAAATGGCTACAGCAAGTTTTCTTAGCTGCAACCTTTCATTACAAGACACAAGAAGTTGTGCATAGTGATGAGGAAAAATAGATCAAAGGAACTCAAATCATCATATTGATTGAAGAATGACAATACACCATAATGTCAAGCTTTGTTGTACAAGTTGATATAAATATATTCTTATCCCAAATGTGATAAGGCTGGGAGTATCCGATTCCAGTATGACCCGAGGGGGGGGGAACTGTCTCAGGTATATGGGAGTAACTGATGTTTCACTGCCTTGTGCATTTTCGTAAAGAACAGTTGCCAGTCCTTGTTGTACTTCTTAGAATCACATTTGAAAGCAGGGAAAGCTTTGTTTTAAAAGCTCTGTTTACGTGATGCTAACTTTTAAAACGTTTTAGTTATACAAGTGTTCTATGAACGAATAAATGCTAAAAAATGTTAAGTACGTTCACAGTTTCTTGACATTAACATTAGTAATCTGTCATGAATTAAAAGTGAGTATTATCTATTTCAAATTGCTTAGCAACGTTAATCAAACACTAAATACATTTATGGAAGTATTATATTTATATGTGTTGGTATTTCGGTATGTAGGAGATGAAAGGAATTCTGTTGTAGTAGATCTCATAAAGGTATATACGTAGCTTGAAATTGAAGGAAAAATCAATAAATTGTTCATTTTAAGCTTAGAATAAAAAGGACAGAGGTGGAGAAAAAATTAGCGTTGTTTACTTACTGTTTCACTACTTAATTAATTTGTTTTCTCTAAACAGCAAAGGTCTCGTCTTTTTTGATAAAAAAGTATTTTTTTCCTTCCTAAAACATCTACTTTTAATTGACATTGTTGCAAGACTATCTCATTTAGCTAATTTTTCTTAAGAAAGATCTGTGAGTGAGACAAGTATCACTGGAGCCATTAATATAGAAGAATGTAAATTTTAAGACAAAATCCTTGTTTTCCTATCTCTAGAGAGTGCATTAGCCAATTTTTTATTATTTGCCATTTTTGCTTCTGCTACAGAAACTTTAAACGGAAGTGTTGCACATTTTTTTTTTTTTCTTTTGCATACTAAAAATTCCAGGCTTAGTATAAGATTATGATTGTGATTAAAATATTTAAACTAAGAGACAATTATGATATTATTTTGCTTTTGAAGACTACAGAGTGAAAATCTTCTCAGATGTGATACCTTTTTTTAGTTCTTAAGATAAGGTGGATATTAATTAAGATCACATTGTAAGAGCTTAATGCTGACTATGCGGGATAGTGGCTAGTGACGCTGACTGCTGTAACCGAAAGGCCCGGGTCCCAAGCCCGGAGAAGGCATGAATGCTTGTAAGCGTATAGTGTCTGTGTGGTAAGGGGACACTCGAAAGACACAGGGAGCCGAAATCCTCTGGAGAGGTTAGTAGTAGGGAAAGATGGGTTGACACTATATGCTTACAAGCATCCAAGCCCGGAAAGTGCATGGATGCTTGTAAGTGGTACATGGATGCGGGCATGGATGCTTGTTTGGGCGGTAAGGGGGCTCTCAAAATACAAAGGGAGACGAAATCTTCTGGAGACATTAGTAGTAGAGGAAGATGGGTGGAGACCCAAAGATCGACCACTGGAGTGTTCAGAATCGGTTCCAAACTGGGACAGAAGCTTAACATTACCTAAGCGCAGCAATACCTCAATCACCTACATTATTAAAAATATGCTGGCTTAGTTTCTAAGTGTTTTTGTAATAGCTTAATGAAAGTTCTTTTCTTTTTTTTTTCATTAATCCAGACATAAATACATTTAGTTGTTGCAAATGGAATATCCGATTTTAAGAACGACGGAAAGAAAAAAGAGAATAAAAAGAACAAGAATATTTGTTTAATCAAATGATTTGTAGCATCATCGTTGCATTGTTGCCACCGTATGATACAGTAATTTATACCATGTAAATACCAGTGTTTCTAGAAGTAATTATTCTGAAGCAGGAGACTTGAAAAATGAGCAGTGCCCTCGCCAGGACTCGATCCCTGGACCTCTCGAATACGCATCGAGTATGCTTCCATTACACCACGAAGGCATGCGAAAAGGCTGCAGGAAAATCCCTTATATACTCTCCTTTTTAAAGAGCGACTGGGGATTAGGAGACCCAGTCGTCAAATCTGGTGGTAACGAATTATCGTCCACCAGCTTTTAGATAGGGCGTCACTGTAGAGTCATTACGCTACTTTGAAGCAGGATACGTGAAAAATGAGCAGTGCCCTCGCCTGGGATTCGAATCCTGGACTCTCAAATACGTGTCGAGTATGCTTCCAATTACACCACGAAGGCATGCTGAAAGGCGGAAAAAACTACCTTACATAATGAAGTTCTTCACTGTCCGGTATACTGATGTGTCAATTTCAAAATCTTCTTGGGCAAGCGACACAGAAAGTGCCCGAAAAAATGGCAATATGTTGGGAAAATGTCAGCGAGTATGGGAAATGGGTCGCAATTTCTCATCGCATATATGCTGATCTACGACGTCTCTAATAATACATGTTCTGTACTTAAGTATGAAATGTATTTAACTTTATTTCGTTTTTAATAATGCACCTACTTTACATAATTTATGACGCACTTCAACTGATAATTTTTATAAAAATTTTGTTTACCTGATTAGGCAAAGCACAAGAAGGCTATCTGCATGAGGGAAGGAAGGCCTTCGTGGAGGACCTTCAAAGAGATATTGGCTCTTATCCAAGTTACACATGGGCAAAACCACGAAAACGCCCATGCAGCCCAGCCACTCGACTGGAATTGAACACATGTTGAACTAACAGTGTTTAGCAACTTTAAGTGTTTAGCTCGGCCACTGGTGGACCCAACTTTTATAAAGAATTGCATAATAATTATAGCTGATAAAATGAATTTCTAACCCCATGTATTACATAATCAGAGACAATTTTTAAAAGCTTTGTCTTCAAGTGTTCTTTTAAAATAAGACTTAAGGTTTCAGGCTTCGGGGTCTGAGAAAACTAATTTACGAGTATTTATTTCAATTTTATTTGGATACAATCCTTTTAATCTAGATTTAATTAAAAACCGCCCAGACGGTATAGTGGTTAGGGGAGCCTGACTGCGAGGGGCTCCCCTAACCACTGTACTGTCGGAGCTTCCCCTAACCACTATACCTGTATAAAAGAGCCCGGGTTTGAATCCCGGAGCAGGCATTGGATGTAAAATTGTCTGTCCTTTCATAGGAGGTAACGGTGGCTGCCTATTAGGTGCCTCCATTATAAAATGGTTACCGCTTGTGCCCGCCATTTGTAAAAAAAAAAAAAAAAAAAAAAAAAAAAAAAAAAAAAAAAAAAAAAAAAAACTTTAGTTTTTTATAGTTGTTTGTAAAAAATTTTGATAAATGATAAATTTATTTGCATTTTGTTATCAACATCAGTACATGCTACATTTCATGCGCAACTATGTGTACGTTATCGAAAGATATTTCTTTATAATTTGTATGTTAGTCTATAAGGAATAAAAGGATCTTCTAGTCCATGCTTTCGTGGTGTAGGTGGTTAACACACTGAAAGATCTCTAGTTTGAATAGCGGCAGGAACGAAGTTGAATTTTCATGTTTTCTTATTTAGCAAAGCCTAATCGTCTCTACATTTGTATTAAGGTCAGTTCTAGGTCTGTACACATGCAGTCCAACAGCGGCCGAGCGGTAAAATCTCTGAACACTGGTATTTCTGACTTGGGTTCGATTTCAGGCGAACTGGCTGGCTGCATGGGCGTATTCGTGGTTTTCCCCAAGTGGTAATGTATATAGGAGCCAGTTTAGTTTCCCTTAAAAATTCTTCCACGAAGGCATCCCCCCTTAGGAAGATAGCCCGTGTGTTTTGCCACGATTAATTAAACCAAACCTAACAAAACCAAAAACAAACCGTACTTATATTATTAGAATTAGACAGAATACAACGTATGATAAAACGTAATGAAATGCGTTAATAACTTATATTAGTATTTGTGTTTAACTCTTTCTATTTACTTCGAAATTAACACCTCTCTTTGTTTAAATATTTTATGATTTTTGCTTACACTAAGTTAATAATAACATAGCATCCTAATAAGAACGAACGAACGCTACATCATTTGAGACCACCTGGCCTCTTTTGGAGTAACAACTTATAGAAAGCGGCATAAATATGATCCCAGTTGGGCCACGAATGTTGAGGAAGAGTCCATAGAAGTGATAGGGCCATAATTAGATTAATCCTTGTCATGACTATATATGGCACCCTTCACCTTGTTTTTGTTTTGTTTTTTACTTGAAAGATATTCGTAGAATATTAATTTTTAATTTCTATTCTAGGAAAGACAGCAACCGTGTATTGTTCAACCAAATCGTTATTATATCACTCTAGGTCTTCCTATATAGACAAAGAACTAATCTTATATATTGTTGACACTGATAATTAATCTGCATAGCGCAAAGAAGGCAAACTGGCTTTCTGCTGTTCACATACAAGCGGTAAATGGGTGTTCTAATGAAAGTCAGTGTAACATTCCCATCTATAATCAAAAGATGATTTGATAGTACAAATAAGATTTATTATTCTTATTGCATAATGTGCTTTTAAAGTTCAACACTGAAACATTTTTATTAAAATATAAAAATGAGAAGTGATAAATGTAGAATATTTTGATGTGTTACCATTTAAAGAAAGGTTTATGATGCATTTCTATTATTTTGTACTTACGACATAATGTGTACTATTAATAGCAAACATAGAAGCTAATGACATGATTTTTTAATGCGAGAAATCATAGATTTTTAGTAAAACTCTATATGAAAAGCTTTTGCACAAAGCGATGAAATATCGAAATAACTGAACTGTAGTTCATATGCGCACTCGTTTTTTTATTAATGCATATTTATGCGTATTTTCCATATTTTATGCGTATTTATGTATTTATGCGCAGTCGTTCACTATTTAGTGCGATTATTATTAATATTTTTATTACCTGGAGTAGTGAGTTGGCGCATATAGTCAATGAAAGGGACAAATCTTTCATATCGAACGCAGCTTCTGAAGCAATCACAAGGTATTCCATGAAATGTATACTTGGCGGTGCCTTCCCAGTCGAAAGCCACGTCGAACTCCAAGCTGTTGGCTCCCATGTCGAGATAATAATCTGCCTGATAGAGAGCGTTGACCATATGGGCAACATTCCAGATAGGTCGTCGCACATCCTTATCAGTTTCCTGAACTACATCCTGAGCGCATACAATCTGAAAGGATATTAAAGTCTATTGGACTGAATGCAAAATAACAAGATTTCATTAGAGAAGCAATGAGAGCAAAAGGAAACTCTTTTCTTAAACAATATTACTTTTAGTGTAGTTTTGCTGAAAATGAGGGTTATTAGTGAAGACACCTTTTGTTTTCAAAGAATGAATATAAAACATACCAACTTGAAACGGAAAAATTGTTTTTTTTTTCCATGTATTAATGAACAAAAGGGTGCCGAGCAAGACTTTTCTCTGGTCACGTTAGAAAATGAACACAATTTATAACTATGCTTAAAATGAGAGATGATACATTGTCTTGGTATACTTGAGAGCTTTCTGGGATAATTTGCTAGAGCATTTTTTAATATTTATTCTGGTTAATAATAAATCGGATCTTGAACTGAGGGAACTGATTGTCTGCATCAGAAAGACCTTCGAAATCAAAAGAAGCCGCATTAAAATGAGTTTCAGATAAGTTACAATCATAATATTGTAAATACTGAATTGTAATTCTAACGCTCTTTTTCTATAATTAATTATATTTTAATAGCAGAAACACTTCCGATGTTTATTTGGATTTAAATTTCAACATCGTGTTAGTAACTGTTGTTTTTCTTGCATATCCTATTTAATTAAAGAAGCCTTTTTTATGATTAAAGTTTATTTACTCTCGAAATGCAACATAAATATCAGAGGCAGTTTGCTGTTTCCATTAAGAGAAATACGGTGCTTTAATTTTAAAGATCGCGCCTGCCTCTGCATGATCATCCTTTAAATTACTGAATATGTGAAATTAGCTTAATTTTTAGAGAATTTTGGTATAAAGTGTTGCATAAAAATGTCTTGAAATTACGTTTTTTGCAAAGAGAGAATAAATGCATTTAATGACATCATAGATATTTAAACTTCCGATAACGGATACAACTAGTTGTTGAATAGACTGGATTGGGGTAGGGGACCCTGTAACCCACGTTGTTGAAAACCTGTGTCTAACTCTTAACACCCCAAGAACTTTATCAGGTTATGTCATCGGTTTGAAAAGGTATCAATATTGTTTTATGTAATAAAACCATGCAATTTCCTAGTATTTCTAACGCCATATCTGTAGTTCTCAAATTATGTGTCATGAGGCCTTTTCCCGACGCTGTATGTTTTTTCGGGGAGGCACAGAAGTTTTGCAATGTTATCCTTAATTTTATGTTTACTATCCCTTGCTTGTTATGCATTTTACTGTTAAATGCTAATTTTTTTATTACGTACAAATTAGAAAAAAAATATTTCATAAAATAGATCAAAGTCAGGAAAGATTTTTTTAACAAAAAGGAAGCTCATTACGAGAAAGTTTGAGAATCCTTGAAGAAGACATTAAAAACGGACGTTTCTGTTAACAAATTTGTGTTCATTTTATGGTATCAAAGAAGACAATAATCTATTATTAGAACTATTTTGCATGAATTATGCCTATACCTAATTTTTAATTGTTTTCAGCATTTCTAGGTACATGATCTGTCTGAATATTTTAACCTGTCACGAATCTCTAAAATATTTCCATTACATTTAAAACTTATATATATGAGCACAAGTGAAAGATGCAGTTTAAAATAGCATTGTTCGTAAACCAATCGTATTCTTTTAATGAGATTCCAGGGTGTTTGAAAATTGTTATAAAATTTGCAAGAGAGCAATTAAATTTCGTTTATATAACCGGCTATACTCAACTCACTATTTTTCTGAGACTATAGATTCACATCTTCACATAGAAAAATAACAATTTTTAATAAATTACAAAGATTTTTTTGGAGGGTGAAACAAATTAACAAAATAAAGTTAAACAAGTTATTAAAATAAGTTAATAAAACAAAACAAAAAAAATCTTGCTTTTTTTAAATACAAAGCTTTTTGCTTCCAAAAGAATATGTCAGTGAGAGGAGTTTTAAAATAGGCTAAGAATTCAAGTAATGGAAGGAAAACTGGCTCGATAGTGACTTTAAAGCATCTCCTCTGTTAATAGCCGTCACGAGCGGAAAACCTCTGAGCTGGTGAATTTCCCTTTTAGCTGTTTCTAAAACAAAAGATATTATACTCGAGTGCGAAGATAATTATACTCGAGTGCGAAGATAATTATACTCGAGTGCGAAGATAATTATACTCGAGTGCGAAGATAATTATACTCGAGTACGAAATTAAGAGAATTTTCCCATTATGTCAAATTTTTGAAAAATTTATAAGGTATTTCTCCTGTCTTCTTAGCATGCCTTCGTAGTGTTGTCGTCTGCCCGCTGGGCGCGTATTCCAGAGGTCCGTGGTTCGATTCCCGGCGAGGGCGTTGCTAATTTTTCACTTCTTCTTGTTTCAAAAATAACATAATGACTCTACAGTGGCGTCCGAACTAAAAGGGTCGTGGATGACGGTTCTCCATACACAGGATTTGGTGATTAGGTCCCCTAAAAACCCAAGTCGCCCTTTAAAAGGCGGAGTATATAAGGTATTTCTTGCGCCTTCTTAGCATGCCTTCGTAGTGTAGTGGTCTGTACTCTGGGCGCGTATTCCAGAGCTCCGTGGTTCGATTCCCGGCGAGGGCGTAGCTCATTTTCCATCTCCCCTGCTTCGAAATAATATAATGTCTCTACAAACTAATGGGCAGATTTTAATGAAATTTGGTATGAATATACATTTAAAGTACTCATGATTGATTATCAGTAAAGCTGTCAGTGCAGGGATGTCCAAAATCCACGTTTTGTTATCGAACTGAAAATGAGTATAATATGGGGTATGGTCCCTTCTCAGAGACTGACAGGTAGCGCAGCGTGACTGCATAATTCACAGGAGTCGCTGTGGCAGTCGATCCCAATCCTGAAGCAAGGCAGTTTTCAACTCCAGGATGGTTCTCGTAAAAGGGATGGCGAGATGAAACGCCTTCCCAAGAATGTCCCAGACATGCTGTATAGCAAGGGTTCGTAACCAGGGGAAATTTCATACTTTCAGGAGGAGAATGTGCGCAACCTTTTATTTAGCTGTTCGGTAATTTGTTTTAGTTTATGAATTTAAAGCAAACTACTGTTATTCAAGTTCTGATATATATCAATATTTTCTGCTGTTTAATTATAAACCACATTAAAAATAACCTAAATAAATACATACGTATTTTTCAAGTTTTGGAAAAGAGGAAATGAACTAACAGTAGTGAAAGAGATGCACGGGCAAAAAAGATTGAGAAAACCCTGATGTATAGCGTTAAGGTCAAAGGATTTGAATGATCAGTCCATGAGGCGAATATTCTCACTTTCCAGGTAATCGTCGACCAGCTGTAAGCTATGTGGACAAGCTTGACATTCCATTAACAAGAACCTAAGCCTAACTGCGCCCTTGAAAAGTCGAACATAGTATTCTAAAATATTCTCCTTATACCTAATAGAAGTCAGGGAGCTTTTGTCAGACACGCAGGGGTATGCTGCCGTCCATCATAATGCCTGCCCAAACCATTGCACCTCCCCACCGTAATGATCCTTTTCCTTGTTGAGGGAGGGATGGTTTCGTGATCTCCTTATCTGTCCAAAAACACGTACGTCGAGAATCTGTGTCCAGGCTGAATCTCGATTCATCTGTAAAAAGCACGGTGCTCCGCTGTAGTTTGGTCCAAGGCGCATGCTATCTGCAGCACATTAAATGCTCTCTCTTGTACACTGCAGTGAGCGGAACGCAAACGAAGGGTCTTTTAACATATAGCCTTATCTCACTAAGCCCTCAGGCGACTGCAGACCGTGAAACTCAGGTTCCAGTGGCAGCATACAGCTCACGTTGGAGTTGTAAAGATGTAGCAGTCCAGTGTCACAGCGATGAAAGTGTCAAATAATGATCATGAGGAAATTGGTCCACTTTGTCCAGGTCTTCTCGATAAGGATCCAGTGTCCTGAAACTGTTTCCACAAATACCAGACGACACTGGGCATTACACTGAGCTCTGAAGCCACGTGCGTTTGTGACTGGCCTGGCTCCAGTCTACAGATAATTTGCTACCTAATTTCACCTTTCGTACATTCGTTGCTACTCATTTTACTTGATACCTTTTAAAATTTACCAAACTCTTGCGAGAAACATGGCGAATGTTGTGAAGGAGTACGAGCAAGCCGCGAAAATCCCTCGTGTACTTATCCTCTCTACAGACTAGCTCCGCAGACACGTACACGTTTACGTGTTCGGCTCTGAATATTTATATAATCCTTTGGAGGCATAATTAGTACCTTTGGTTCAATACTTTACATAAAAACAGAAATAATTTGCATGTTCTCTTAATTTTGCACACGAGTGTAGTTTGTGTATTTTCAAGCCAGGTGCTAGGATCGAATTATAATTCGAAGTCTGTTATCTCAGGGAGCAAAGGAAGTAAATTTGTATTGAACATGTTTTGTGCTTGAAGCCTCCCGAAATCTGCAGCAAATGCTGGTTGTTTTATTCGCTCTACTATTGCGTTCATTTAGCATTCTGAGAATTTAGTAGAAGCGGGGAAGAAAATTCGTCCATTAGGTGTAAATGCTAAACTAGTGTAGTTAAAGAAATTAGATTTAAGCTCATAAAATTAAAATCCGAAATATATCGTATTTTACTTTAACTCTTAAACATGAAATTAAAATATAGCGTACTGTACTAAATAGCAAGATGTATGGTTTTATCTAAATTTGTTACTCGGAATAGAAATAATGATTGTTTTTATGAGCAAAAATATAAGTGTCAGTTGTCAGAACTCGATAGAGGATTAAAAGGCTTTCATCAAAACTTATTTCTACACGCAAATCATACTCGGTACATTAGAGTTTAATTATCCAGTTTAAAGTCGTAGAGAATTACTTTGGCAAAAATTTATTTGCCCAAAAGAGCGGTTGCCATAATGGTAGACCTTGTATGGGAGACTGATCTGTATCTGCATTACAAATGAGAAAAGCCACGAAAAACTAATTCAACAATAGAGAACTGATCCGAAAGCGGACTGCCAGTGTTTCGTGG